ACCAGGGGCATCTTATGGGGCCCCCTACCGACCCTGGGTCCTCGGGCAGTGCCCGAGTTTCCAAATGGTCAGTCCGCCTCTGCTCTAGATCCCACTTAGGATCTACTCACTTTTGTACCAGACTTGTTGTAAGTATTTGCTCACATATTTTCTGTTATTACCATCACTTCCGTGGTTTACCATTCACTTTTCCCACTTTTGGATCCGTTGAGGATCGGATCACGGGTCAGACATTTGTAGATCCCATGTGGATCAGGTCACATTTATGTTATTTGCACTTTGTGTCACTTTATATATTGTTTTCACATTTATTTATCGATTTTATTATGCATATATGAGTTTATGATATGTGATTTATTCCTTTTGAGTAGCGCTACATCATTTTTCCTCATCTTATTTTATTTGATCATTAGGTATATGATTGGATGTAAGCAGCTTTTCTCTGTTATTTGTATTTATTATAGTTAGAAGGGCAGGAGGTTTACACCATTATTTTTCAAATCACTTAAATGGCCCTCACTCTTCAAAGGGTTGCGCACCCCTGGTATAAAAGCTTTGACCTGCTTTATGGAGACATATCCCTTATCACACCATCTTTGCTATCTCCTGGTCTTTTATTACAAAAAAGAATGTGAATTTTACATTCTTGAGATATATATGAAATTGCCATAATGACGAATCATAAAAAGAAATCTCTTTCTTTCGGAAAGTGACCCATGGGAAATTGGCCAAGTTTTTCAAATGTGCCACTTTATCAAAATTAGAAAGCGGGCATACATTTGAGGATATGGGCAGCAGATGTCACTTGATGTGATTGCATGCATACATGAATAATGGCATGCCTAATGCACGGTATCATACGGCTGTACAATATGCCGCTGCTCACGGAGCAGTGCTGCAGAAACAGGCCCATAAATCATATTCCGCAAGAATGGAAGCAAGTTAAAGGTTTTGGACATGCAGATGACCAAGAAGATAAGTTGCACTATAAATCACGGTTAAAATGTAAGAAACAATCGGTAAGGACAGTGTGAGGACAAATGTGAACAATTATCCGTGAAAAGTGTCTTCAGACTGCAGCTTGTAAATCCACAAGAGCTGAGATCCAAGCATACGACTATGAAAAGACCCAGCACCTGTCACTAAGTGAATGAGAAGACATCTTTTACAACAAAATCTGCAAGAACCCTTCTGAAATTGGATTGCTTATTTTTTCGTTTACAGAAAGCACACATTGCTGGGTGCCCAAATACCTGAGACTGCTTTAAGGCGTTACCCCACTGCCACTAATTGGGTGCATGCTGCAGAAAATCTGGGCTGCTGAAGCTGAACTCCGGGCAATCAGCTAAATACATTAAAATGACATTTCTGCCCATCCATTCTTGAGATTTACACAGCTCTGCCACACAGCACAGTCCTACCTGGCCAGGGGCGGACTGACCATTCGGGTACTCGGGCACTGCCCGAGGGCCCCGGGGTCAGTAGACCCCATGAGATGTCCCTGGTACCTTTCATAGGCTTTTTTGGGTGTGGTTTGAGTGTGGGCGAGGACACAGGGGCCCCATGATCCCCTATTGCCCAGGGGCCCCATGAATTGTCAGTCCGCCAATGTACCTGGCAGGACAGGAGATTTGATTTTCAGATGCAGTTCAGTAACACTTAAAGTGGTATTCCAGCTCAACATTAACTATGTTTAACCACTTGCCCTCCAGAGGATTTACCCCCTTCCTGACCAGGCCATTTTTTGCGATACAGCGCTGCATTACTTTAACTGACAATTGTGCAGTCATGCAAGTCTGCACCCAAATGAAATGTATGTCCTTTTTTTCCCACAAATGGAGATTTTTTTGGTGGTGTTTGATCGATTCTGCATTTTTTATTTTTTGCGCTATAAATAAAAAAAGACCGACAAATTTGAAAAAAAAAATTTTTGACTTTTTGCTATGAAACATATCCAGTAAAAAGTGAAAAAGTTATAGCGTCTACAAATGGCGGCGATCAGCAACTTATAGCGGGACTGCGGCGGGCATTCTGACACTGGGTGGGAACTGACTAACTGCCACTGACATCCCCAGTGAAACTAATACAGTGATCAGTGCTAATAAAAAGCACTGACACTGTACTAATGGCACTGGGCCGGAAGGGGTTAACATCTGGGGCGATAAAAGGGTTAACTGTGTTACTAGGGGGCGGTGTCTGTGTGCTTCACTGTAATCACACTGCTCTGGATGGCTGTGCTGTGCACAGCCATCCAGAGCAGTGTGCCTGTGCTGACATGGAGGTGAACTGTTAGTAAACAAAACAGTCCCCTTCCACCTAGGAGATGCTCCGTAGTCACCGGGCGGGACCCGACGATTGACAGCGTGACCCAGATGATTTAGCCTGCAGAGTGAATGGAGAAAATCTTACAGATTCCACCATCCACACTACACAGTGCAGAAGCATGAATCACTAGCTGCATCTATTGTATTTTGATGGCTATCTCTGCCAGCTGCCAAAATACTGGACAATAGTGATGGATTGCCAAATCGGCAGAGTAGGCACTGGTCTATGGGCCCCATGTCATGGTCCCCCGCCGCCCTATAGCAGAACTACTTCTGCAGGGCTACGCAAAATCACTTATATATATGTGATTTTGTATTTCTGGGTAGGGAGCACATATGTGCGCGACACCCTTCCTGCGCCGCCACTGCAGGCTTCAGCTATTGATCACCGTGTCCCGGCCAGAGATTCCCCTTCGGCACCTGGTGATCGCCAAGGAACACTGACAGAGGAGAGGTCTGTATGTTAACAATACAGATCGCTCCCCTGTCAACACCAAGTAGGGGCATTTCCAGCTGGGGACATGTGCTCGCATGTGAACTAACCTGCCCACGCCACCATTGGCAGCTACAGATCTTGATCACCGGGTTCCAGCCGGAGATTGCCCACCGACACCCGGCAATTGCTGAGGAATAGTGAAAGAGGAGAGGGAGGTATGCAAACAACACAGATCTCTCCCCTGTCAGCACCAACATGCTGCTTTGTGTTGTTCTGCATAGCAGAGCAATACAAAGCAGCATGTTTCCCTAGTGAAACAGCACACAGTTAACCCTTTGATCGCCCCAGATGTTAACCGCTTCCTGACCAGTGTGTAGTACAGTGTTAGTGCTTTTTATTAGCACTGATCACTATATTAGTGTCACTGGGGAAGTTAGTGGCAGGTAGTCATTTCCCCCCAGTGTCAGAATGCCCACCGCAGTCCCACAGTCCCACTATAAGTCACTGATCACCGCCATTACTAGTATAAAAAAAAATTCCAGTACATATACCGCCATTTGTAGCTACTAAAACTTTCAAGTAAACCAATTAATTTACACATATTGGGATTTTTTTTTAGCAAAAGACATGGAGCAGAATACATATTGGCCTAAATTTATGGTGAAATTTGATTTTTTAAAATTTTTTACTAGGCATGTTTTATAGCAAAAAGTCAAAAATATATATATTTGTTTTCAAAATTGTCTGTCTTTTTTTGTTTATAGTGCATAAAAAAAATGCACAGGCGATCAAATACCACCGAAAGAAAGCTCCATTTGTGGGGGAAAAAGGACATAAATTTCAATTGGACGCAGCGTTGCATGACCGCGCAATTGTCAGTTAAAGTAATGCAGCGCTGCAGCGCAAATAATGGCCTGGTCAGGAAGGGGGGTAAATCCTCTGGAGGGCGAGTGGTTAAGGGCCCTGTGACTTTGGTGCAAGCCACATACATGTAATGTACAGTAGTGATGTCATCTCCATCTAGCGGCTGAAGTGCACACTACTTAGTTCAATGTTATCCCACTAGAGCCGGCATACGAGAAACCTCCAGAAACCTGGGGGTCCCAACATGTTGATTGCCTAGGGGGCGCCACGGAGTTTAATCCAGATCTACCTGCATTGGCCCGGATGCAGCCACTGTTCAGCTGACATTTTGCTCGGCTCCTTCCATTTTTCACTCGGGGGGATGTCATGCAGGAGGCAGGCCAGGGGGGCCACCCTCTGAGCGAATTTCACCCGGTTCATCAGTACCTGCACAATAATGTGGACAGTGTATGGCCAGCTTTAAATAGAGGCCACTGCAATACTATATCCGAGTCATTGGGGTTGATTACCTAAAGGAAAATAGGCTGTTCATTCTACGTAGGAATTTCACTTTAAGGTAGTGAATGCAGTAAACATTCACTTTGCAAAAAATGCCCAGTCATGTTCAAGGAAAATTTAAATACAGTATTTTTGCTTGCAGGTGATTGGATGACAGAGGTCAGCAGAGCTTCATTCACTAAGCTAAGGGAAAATTCTCTTGCACAATCAACAGCTGATTTGCATTTCGCAAATCAACCCCATTATGTCCCTTACTTGCCTTCTCATTGCACACACCCCTGTCAGTAGGTGGAACAAAGTGAGTTTCAGGATTCTTTCTTAAAGTGTTACTGAACCCACAACAGTAAAAATCAGTCTGTATATGCAGTAAAGCGTGCTTGATATACTCACTGTGGAAACTAAGGGGTTAATCATTCGTATTGCATAAAAAGGCTGTTTGATCCTTTCTTCTCTGATCCTCCTCTTCTTCTAATGCCCCCAATCCATCTGCTGATAGAACAGAGCCTTGGGAACAAGCTGCACATGCTCAATATGGTGTGTATTGCTAGAGAGTTTTTTCTTTTCTTGGGAGGGTGCATGTGATCAGCACAGGACCAATCAGCGCTGTCCAGACAGAGGGTCAGGGGTTATACAGCCTCATAGGACAATCAGGGGAAAATGAAAACTCCTCCTACAAGCTTTAACCAGTGCTCTACTGGACACTGATAGAAGTCACAAGACTGCTCTTACTGCTGATGAGAAAAGGTATTTAGCAGTTTATATTTACTAAAATAATTGCATTTGCATGTTCTGTGTACTGTGGGAGACCGGATATAGTGAATGCAGGGTCCGGGGAGACCAGATATAGCAAATGCAGGGTCAATGGAGACCAGATATAGTGAATGCAGGGTCCAGGGAGACCAGATATAGTGAATGCAGAGTCCTGGGAGACCAGATATAGTGAATGCAGGGTCCAGGGAGACCAGATATAGTGAATGCAGGGTCCAGAGAGACCAGTTATAGTGAATGTAGGGTCCGAGGGAGACCAGATATAGTGAACGCAGGGTCCGGGGAGACCAGATATACTGAATGCAAGGTCCTGGGAGACCAGATATAGTCAATGCAGGGTCCGGGGAGACCAGATATACTGAATGCAGGGTCCTGGGAGACCAGATATACTGAATGCAGGGTCCTGGGAGACCAGATATAGTGAATGCAGGGTCCAGGGAGACCAGATATACTGAATGCAGGGTCCGGGGAGACCAGATATAGTGAATGCAGGGTCCTGGGAGACCAGATATAGTGAATGCAGGGTCCTTGGAAAACAGATATAGTGAATGCAGGGTATGGGGAGACCAGATATAGTGAATGCAGGGTCCTGGGAGACCAGATATAGTGAATGCAGGGTCCTGGGTTTAGTAACACTTTAATGTTTTATTGCTTGGTTATTATACTACAAGTAGCTGCATTCACACTATAGTAGCCCATGAAAGCACATGTGTCATATGTAGGGGAGCCCACTGAAATGAATAGGATGCCCTAGGTGCGTTTAGTGCTTGAGTATTAATTCATTTCAATGGTCAGAATAAATGATTATTCTGTCCAATAAAATGAACTAATGCCCACGCTCCTGACACCTGTAAATACATCTAAACACTAGTAAAAGCATTTGACACGTTTACAAGCATCAGGCGTTTTTTCTGCCAAAATAATGCTGCGTTTTTTTAAAAGGTCTTGTGTGCATGAAGCCTAAAAAAAGAAAACGAATGCAGCCATCACATCTAATGACTGGAACGCTGCCATATACTGTATATGATTTCTGATTCTAGGTTTAGATACGCTTTAAGTATTTACAACTCGCTAAGGAGCAGTGAAGAAGCCGCCGGTGTTCTGACCACGTCTGTGGATGCTAGCGAGTGCCGTGTTGTGATTGTTATGGGTGTCATGTCATATGGGATGTGTCACATATTTGGAACTTGAAATAGAGAAATGATGAGAAGCTGTGAGTCAGGATTCCTGCGTGGGAGCAGCCATTGCACAGGGGTTAATAACGATCTGCGGCTCCTAATAAGCTGTATCTTCCCTATGGGGGTCAGCAGGAAGCTCATAGGAAGTGTAACAGGCTCGCCTAATGATACGGGATACATTCATCCGCTGGTGGCTAAAACAACCCCCCCTCTCCGGCGGCATACCTACATGCAGTATATAACCCCAATCCATACAATATGCAACCCAGAAATAATTGCCCAGCTTCTGATTCATGCATACAGATTGGGCTCAGGCTCAAACACGACTTGTCATTTTCTGAACCATGTTGGGTTTTTTTTTTTTTTTCACAGTTAATCTGGTCTGGGCATATGGCAGTGCATTCACAAGAGCCTGTTAGGAGAACCTTCCTTGTCCAAAAACAGCGTTCATGTATTTTCAATGAACCTCCGCTGAGCTCCTTAAAGAAAAACTAAATATTCACAAATATGAATCCTCAATTGTGTATGGGCAATGGTCCAGGTTAGAGGTAGTGAGGTCCAGGATCCAACAACAGCCAACACAGACATTGTTTCTCTATAGAGGCATGGTACTGGGCTCAGACTCTGGAAACGTATATAATCAGGTGTTCTATGATTACAAAGTATACTGCCGATTAAGATCGTAAAGAAGTACCATATCCAAAAGGAAACATTTAGGGCCGGTTCACACTATAGAAACGCAGTCCGGATGCGTTCTGGATGCATTTTTGGTGCGTTCTAGTGTGTTTTTTTTATGCGTTTCAGTTCATTTTTTTCCCTCTCTTTTTCTTCAATTTAAATATGGACTTGTGCATTCCAGTGCATTTTTGGTGTGTTTTGGTGCGTTCCAGTGCTTTGCATTTTACCGCGTTCCAGTACAGTTCTGTGCAGAAAAATGCAGCATGTTCTATTTCTTTTTCTGCAACTGGAACGCACTGGAACTGCAAGCACTGATGTGAACTATGACATTGACAACCATATACCCTACTTTCTGTGCATTTTGGATGCAGAAAAAAAGCAAATGAAACGCATGTCGTGTGAACTGGCCCTTAGGGCTGGTTAACACTATAGAAACCCAGTCCAGATGCATTCCAGATACATTTTTGGTGCGTTACGATGCATTTTTTTTATGTGTTTTGATGCATTCCAGTGCAGTTTTTATGGATTCCAGTTCATTTTTTCCCCTCTCTTTTTTTCAATTTCAGTAGGTACATGTACATTCCAGTGCGTTTTTGGTGAATTTTGGTACATTTCAGTGCATTTTTGGTGCATTCCAGTGTGTTTTTGCTGCGTTTTGGTGCATTCCAGTGCGTTTTTGCTGTGTTTTACTGTGTTCCAGTACAGTTCTGTGCAGGAAAAATGCAGCCTGTTCTACTTTTTTTTCTGCAACTGGAACTTACTGGAACTGCAAGCACTGGTGTGAACTATGACATTGACAACCATATAATCTACTTTCTGTGCATTTTGGATACAGAAAAAAAGCAACTGAAACGCATGTAGTGTGAACTGACCCTTAGGGCCAGTTCAACGTGTTTTGACGCATTCCAGTGTGTTTTTATGTGTTTTGACGCATTCCAGTGCGTTTTTTATGCATTCCAGTTCATTTTTTCCCTTCTCTTTTTCCTCAATTTCAATAAGGACTTGTGTGTTCCAGTGCATTTTCGGTGCGTTTTGGTGCATTCCAGTGCGTTCCGGTGCATTTTTGATGCGTTTTACTGCGTTCCAGTACAGTTCTGTGCAGGAAAAATGCAGCCTGTTCTACTTTTTTTTCTGCAACCGGAACTTACTGGAACTGCAAGCACTGGTGTGAACTATGACATTGGCAACCATATAACCTACTTTCTGTGCATTTTAGATGCAGAAAAAAAAAAAACATCTGAAATGCATGTTGGCCCTAAGGACCAGTTCACACTATAGAAACGCAGTCCAGTTGTGTTTCGGATGCATTTTTGGTGCATTCCGGTGGGTTTTTCATGTGTTTTGACATGTTCTAGTGCATTTTTTAATCACTGGAACTGCAAGCACTGATGTGAACCATAACATTGACAACCATGTAACCTACTTTCTGTGAGTTTTGGTTGCAAAAAAAAGCAACTGAAACGCATGTAGTGTGAACTGGCCCTTAGTACTTCTTTAAAATCTTAATCCACAGTACAATTTGTAATCAAATGAACACAATTCACAGAATGTGCGGTGACACGTTTTACAGTATGTCAGGGACAGCCAGGAAACAATTGTCTCCTATGTGTTCCATTCACACTGCAATGCAGCCCAGCACTGCAGCATACTGCGCTAAAATGCAGACATGTTATATTTTATCACAGTGCTCCGGCCCGAATCGCACTGCGATGCCAGGCAGCGCAGACAACATTGCAGTGACTGAAATGTACATTTTGTGCACTTCACATAAAGTTTGTTCAAAACCATAAAAGGTGGGGGCGTGTGATGCGCCGAATTGCAGAGCACACTGCCCCCTACCGCATCCCCTAAAGCAGAGCGGATGGAGTGGAGGATCGCTCCAGCTGCTTTACAATTTACAGGCTGTGCATTGGGAATGTACACAATACAATGTACACAATGTTATTCTGCAGTTTACGATTTCTTAGATGGGATGGTTTCTTTAGTTTTCTTTTTTAGGCTTTCTTTCTTCTTTTTTAACCTGGTGATCTGGCAAGTAAGTCTGTTGTTTTTCAAAAGAACAAACTCTCATCCAGAGGTAACAGGTTACAGGATTGAGACAAACCATTTACCACTGGCTTACAATGATCAGCTTTTATTTATTTATGCAAAACCTTTATCTCAAAAAGAAAAAAAAACAGCTGAAACTGATTATAAAGTGTTAGCTGAAGTTTGGCTTCAATCTGTTATGCAGGCCATAGATGGGTCAAACATCGGCCGATTTTACGAAAAAAAAACAAATCGGCTGTTTGTTCGGCCGACGTTACCACCAATGATGAAAAAAAATCGGCCAACTAAATCATAAAGTTCACCCCATAACTTCTGTCCCTTGCAGGTCATGGCTAATGCGTGGATTTTTTATCGGTAAAACGATCGGCCGATTTGCCCATCATTGCCGGGAAAATCATGATGGCACATGATGGAAGTCAGCAGAGTTTCCTCTCATTTACTAAGCTCTGGAGCAATTGCTCTTTGTTAAGTGCAATTGCACTTGCAAAGTGCACAGTCTATTTGCCTTTAGTAAATCCACCCCAGAATGTACTAAAGCCATTGATTCAGCTTGACAGCCAATCCAGGAGATGTTAACAATGGGATCCCCCATAGGAGGTGAAGACGAGGAGCAGTGACATAGTCTCCACCTTGTCCAATCATAGAATGTCTTGTATTGACTTCCAGGTCTAGGCAAGATTCTATGAAAGTGGCAGTAAGCTTTGTTTTTTTTTTTTAATCCAAACATTTTTTATTGAAAAGGAGTAATAAACAAATACAAGGGCAAGGAACAACCTCAGAGGAATACATGTAGAGGCATACATCATATATGTAGACCAATCACGGTCAGAACAAACATGTGAGAGCCCATTGCTAGGGATAACCAATGCTGTAACAATCGACATCTTGCAAAGGAAAAGGAAAAAAAAAGGAAAGGAAAAAAAAAAAAACAAAAGAAAAATTCTTTAAAAACATAAAGATAGAAAAGAAAAAAAGTGGAAGCAAGTTAAAGAATCTGTAAACCCAACATTTCATATTTCTGGTATGTGTCTGCTGTAGCATGTACTTGTATGAAAAGGTTTCCTCTTCTCTTTGTATTGCTTCCTATGTGTGAAATCACTGGTGTTTCGCTGACCACACTAGGCATGAGAGCACAGAGTGGTCAGCTCTCTAGCTATGCTGGGAACTGAGCCTGCTCTCCTCCAATGATCAGACTTGTGCTGACATTCCCCCCTGCACAGCCATTCACTGGGAAGATCAGTGTCCTGCTGTTTCTCTTCCCTTAACACTTATGCAGCTGAGAAACAAGGATATGTGATTTAAAAAAAAAAAAGGTAAAAAGGGTATTTATAATGTTTTTATATATACACAAATGTTTTACTGTTCATTTTTATTTTAAACTAAATGGGTTGCATCACAAGGTGAGAGTTTACAATCACTTTAGCTACAAGAGCAGGGGGACGAGGTTTCAGAAACAAACCTGATAACAGACAGCTTTCCGTTCACATCCTGTGATTTGGGTTTGCAGACAGAATCGCTGCGATTCCACCTGCAATCCCAGTTCTCGGGGCAATCATGTTTCTGTGCCATTATCCTTCAGTGGCACCCCAAACACAATGTGACTCTGCCGCTATTGTCACGTGACAGGATCGCATGGCAATCGCAGCAAACCGCACCTTTCAAAATCACTTGAAGCTTGTCGCAGGAGAAGCAGCAGGAGCTTCTTTTCAGGTGTGCAACACGCAAAATCATGTGACAATCGCCTGTCAGGTTGTGTGAATGGAGCCTTAGTCATTGTTATGGAGCAGAGGAGACAAATGTGTCATCTTTTACATTTTTACAAAGTCACCGATGTCTGCGGGCTGAAATGGGGAGATGATGTTTATAAGAATGCATGGTAGAATGGTTTGCATGTCACTTCCGTGTCATATCTGCTTTATAGCAAACATTAAATGGGCCCCAGCCAGATACACACACGTGGTCATTAAACCCCCCTTGTGGATATCAACACAGAATATGAAGCTAAAGCAGAAGACGCCAAATCCTGTTTGCAGATTTATCCTCTGTGACCTGTACTGCATAATACTTGTGAATTATGTATAATAATCCTAATACAGGGAAATTGGGTTCTTAGACTGGCAGGCATGAAGAAACAATAGGAATGCAGAAGGCGGCATGAACAGAACAAAGAGGGAGAAAAATGCCTGTTTAGGTTTTTATCACAAAAGGAACAGAAACTAGCCAGAAGGTATATCATGAGATTAGGTGGGAAATCTGCATTCTGCGACAAAGCCACAGTCTCAGTGTGTGTAAGGTTATTGGCAATTGTACCAAAATCATTGCTGTATTTAGGAGATCAACATTGGGGGAATAACAGTGTGCTGGGTGAGACGCTCTGCATTGTCAGAGCATCCATTCCTCAAGCAGGTGAGTCATTGGGGCTGCCATCTAGTGGTGAAATGTGACACTGAGTCTCATCATTCATTACGGTGAAGTTCAAAACACGAGGGCTGTACAGAAAGTGATGCAAAAGTGGCCATAATGTTTTTATTAATTTATATGGGTCGTTCAAATTTCATATGTTGGTTCCTTTATAGTAACTCTCCTTCCTCTTCTTCTTCCTTCTTTTCTTCTTCTTCTTCTTCTTCCTTTTCTCCTTCTTCTTCCTTCTTCCTTCTTCCTTCTTCCTTTTCTTATTCTTCCTCTTCTTCCTTCTTTTCTTCTTCTTCTCTTCTTCTTCCTCCTTTTCTTCTTCCTCTTCTTCTTCTTCTACTTCTTTTCTTCTTCTTCAACTTCTTCCTTCTGCTTCTTTTCTTCTTCGACTTCCTTCTTCTTCTTTTCTTCTTCCTTATTTCCATCTTCTTTGACTTCTTCCTTCTTCTTCTTCTTCTTTTCTTCTTCTTCCTTCTTTTCTTCTTCTTCCTTCTTTCTTCTTTCCTTCTTCTTCCTTCTTTTCTTCTTCTTCTTCCTTCTTCTCTTCTTCCTTCTTTTCTTCTTCTTCTTCCTTCTTTTCTTCTTCTTCCTTCCTTTCTTCTTCCTTTTCTTCTTCCGTCTTTTCTTCTTTTTCTTCTTCTTCTCCTCCTTCTTCTTCCTCTTCCTTTTCTCCTTCTTCTCCTTCTTCTTCCTCTTCCTTTTCTTCTTCCTTCTCTTCTTCTTCCGTCTCTTCTTCCTTCTCTTCTTCCTCCTTCTCTTCTTCTTTCTCTCCTTCTTCTTCCTTCTCTCTTCTTCTTCCGTCTCTTCTTCCTTCTCTTCTTCCTCCTTCTCTTCTTCCTCCTTCTCTTCTTCCTCCTTCTCTTCTTCTTTCTCTCCTTCTTCTTCCTTCTCTTCTTCTTCCTACTCTTCTTCTCTTTTTTCATTGCAGATAAATAATGGATTCCAAGCACAAGCAATGTGACGTCATTGTGTTCTTGATGAAGGAGGGGTTCAAGCTGCCCGACATCTACAGAAGGCTACAACATGTTTACAGAGAAGACACCATTGTTTATTGCATGGTAATGTTGATCGTTACGATTAATTTTCCGGACAAAATTTCATTTGCGGAGATTCGTATGTATACAAATGTCATTAAATCTGAAAAATATTATAACAAAATTAACAAATGCATTTGTTCATTTGGATGACATCATATGATGCGATAGTAGTTCGGGCCAATGAGAACATTAATTCAATTTTCAAATTTGTTTGATAATTCATATTTGGATAATAAATGTACCTGAATTTTGTTCCATTCGTTAATTCCGATGCACATGACACCAGTCAATATTGTCCAATTAGCTCATGCCATTTCTATTGGTGGGTCCGATTCA